TTTGCACAGACTTGTATCCAGAATTATCCTGTTCTATTAACCAGTCTGATATAGGCTCAAAAAAAAAAAAAAAAAAGCAGGGTGTATGTGGGGGGGGACACTTTCTTTTCTTACATGCCGTATGGTGGGGGTGGAGGGGAAAAATGAAAGCAAAAAGCATCTCTTTCAGTTCATTCAGTCCCAGCTTTCACTGGCTGGAGAGGTGATTTCTAATCACAGTCCCATTAGCAGCACTTTTATGAGAAGAACTATTGGCTTCCCAGAAGCACAAATTCCCAAGTGCCTGCTTGAGGGTTAAAATAACTCACTTCTCTAAAATGAAGTAAGCTCCACAAGAGGAGGGAAAAGGAAAAGGGAAATGTCCTTCTGTTTCTTTTCTTTTTATATTTGCATAGTCCGATTTCTGTGGCTATAACTGAAATATCACAGATCGAGTAATTTATAAAGAGTAAAGGTTTATTCTGCTTGAGGTTCTGAAAGCTGAGGAGTTCAAGATCAAACAGCCGCATCTGGTGAGGTGCCTCTCACTGGTGGGGACTTTCTGCAGAGTCCCAAGGTAGCGCAGGGTTATCACATGATGAGCATAATGTCCAAGCTCATGTCTCTCCTCCTCTTCAGAGTCCATTGAGTTAGTTGCCACCCCTTCTGGCTCATTTAACCTTAATTACCTCCCAAGGGTCTCACCTCCAAATACTATAGATTAATATTCTACCCTCTTGCCAGCCTCAGTGGCACATGTCTGTAATCTCAGCTACTTGGGAGGCTGAGGTAGGAGGATTGCAAGTTTGAGGGCATCCTCAGTAATTTAGTAAGACCCTGTCTCAAAAAGTAAAAAGATCTGGGGATGTAGTTCAGTGGTAGAGCATCCCTGAGTTCAATCTCCAGTACTGTTAAATTCTACCCTCTAAATACTTCATAATGGGGATTAAATTTCAACATGAGTTCTGGCAGAGACATTCAAACTGTAATACTTCTTAATGTGATTTGTTACAAGAATCCTTGAAATTAGAAAAATAGCTCATTAAGTTTCTGTTTCCTGCTGTTTTCTGCCCACTTCAACACATTCCTCAGAGATTGCTTCCATTGAGTTTTTAAAATGGTGAAAGAAATCATGCCCACTACTCTCCAAGAAGCCCAGTCCACAATTTAGGAGATTTTGTGGTCAAGACATTGAGACTTTTGATCTGTGGTTCAAGCTTATGGTAGTTCACATTCACAGGACTCAGTATGAGGGAAATGGCTGATGGGAAGGTGATTTCCTGGCAGAACTGCCTGTGAAACGTGGGGATAGTGGAGGAATTGGCCAACTACTGAGCTGGGGTGGGGGAGGGGAAGGAGATCCAAGGCTGCCTGATCAGGAAGGGGCCCTGGGACAGCCACTGGGAAGCAGCATCCACCAGCAGGCAGCCATCAGACCCAGTAGTTGGGAACACAAGGCTGTTTAACAAATTGTGTTGGTAGGAGAGAACATCCGTCACCAACCACCAGAAAACAGGGTCATCTACTACTGCGCCCCAGGTGAAAAGGCCCAGATGGATGGGTCCACTCTGGTCCCATCCATGGAGGATAATCAGTAGTTCTATCTCTTCCCTTACATAGTCAAAAGCTTGGATTTAACTACTTAATCTCTTCTTCTGCGGTTTTATGAGCTTGTGAATATGGAAGAAGATATATTTACAACTGGGTCTAACAAGAGTTTGAGGCTTCCTATCGCTTCCCCACAGAATTCCAGTCTTTTCCAGAGGAGCTCTCTCCAAATATTTCATGACTCCCCTAGAGCAGCTCCCATGTGTCTGTGAACTAGTTTTCATTATCACTTCCTTGCAGTGGCTGCAGAAACCAGACAAGGTCCTCTGTACCTGGTCCCCCAGTCATCTGGGCCAAAACCCCGCTGTTGCTGAGTGCCAGCCTGAGCATGCCAGCAGCTCAGCCACATGCGCGTGACAAGTCATTCATCTGCTGACCCTGTGCCTTGCTGTCAGCCCGGTCACCACCTCCATCAACACCAACACCAACATCACCTTCCACCTCACCGCCCAGGCAGATCTCTGACAGTTTGCCAAGGCTCAGCCGTTCCTGGTGGTGAGAGTGTAGCTGCCCCTTCCTATTCTCTCCAGGGGTGACCCACAACAACACCCCCTGGGCCCAGATATCACAACATTTCAACTGAAATGTCACAGCTCTTTCAATGGCCATATTTGTAGACATTTCCCCCCAAACTCTCCCTTGGCAATGGGTGAACACCTCAGCAGGACTGCTAGTATATTCTTCCAGATCAGCACTTCCCAGCAAAGATGCAGAACCTGTTACGGAGTCCAGCTCACCTCTGAGGCACACTCCACCCTCCCTATGTCAGGTCTCCCTGAAGGCCCTACAGTCCTCAAATGTTGATCTGGGACACTGCAGCTCATTGGTCATGGTTCTATGTCTTGCTTTTCCTTGTGGGTGGAGTTGGGTCCCCTATACCCATAATGCCCTAGAGGGTCAGGAATTCATAAAATATCAAGTAAACATGGTTAGGTTGGGGGAGATCTGGCTTTTAGCATCTGACACTGAGTTAGGCCATATTACCTGGTGTAAAATAAGTATCAGATGCTCCTTATGCCTACCCAGACCATGGTCTTCAAATGTTCATGACCCACCTGTTTATCCAATATTTATGAAGAACACTTACCATGTGCCAGGCACTGTTCTAGGCTTTGGAAACATAAAGATGAGCTTTTAAAACAGTATAATACCATATCTTAATTCAAGGAATGGTCTATGTGGAAAGACAAATACATAAATTATTTATAATATAATGTTGTGATATTGTTTTTATTAGGACCATTTTATTAGGACTTCTGGAGAACAGAAAAGCAGAAGATTCCTTTTGTCTGGCAGTCAGAGAAAGTTTCTCAGGGTAGATATTTAGGTTGGGTGTGAAGGATGAATAGGAGTACCTTAGGAAAGAAAGTGTAAGAAATTCCTATGTGAGAGAGAGAGGGAAAAAAAGCATGAAAGTTTATTACTTACTGAGAGAACACCTGGAATCAGGTGCAGCTAGAGCACATGGACTGAGGTGACACCTGAAGAGCAGGAATGATGGTCAGACACCCAGGAGCAACTTGCAAAAAGTCAGGCGTGCCCTTCCCAGAATGTGTGATTTAATTCAGAAAACACATTTGAACACCAGTTAGGTTTCTGGCATTCTGGTTATGACTAAAGCATGGCTCCTATCTTTGAGGAGGTTAAATCACTTGGAGAAACAAGCTTACAGAGGTAAATTTACTTTGATGTTAGGACAGGAACACACACAGGATGCCCTGGAACACAGAGCCTGAAGTGAGGAGTGAGGTCTGTCTCAGTGGGCTTCCTGCAAGCACCTCTGCAGAGGGGTAATCTTCCAGCTAAGGAAAGGAAGTGGAAGATTTCTAGGCAGATGGAGCTGACACAATGAGCAAAGGCAGAAGGACAACAAGCATCATCACTTACAGCTTTTCTTTGTTTGTAGAAGGAGATGATTAGAAGCAGCTCAGAACTGTTGAACTATGGAGTGAACGGCTGGGAATGGCAGGAGGTGAGGATGGAGAGACAGGTAAGTCCTAGGGACCAAGTAAAGCTTCAGATCATGTCTGGAGCTATGAAAACATCTCAAGCCAGAGGCCCAAGAGGTCAATTTGCTGTTTAGATGGGTCACTCCCAGGGCAGTGTGGAGCAGGAGCCAAGGAGAGCCAGGAGACCAGGCTATGATAATGTGCAGGCAAGAGATGCCAAATCCACAAAGGAGGAGAGGAAGGGCGGGTGTGGCTTGATTGTTTGAATAGACATTTTCTATTAAGCTAATTTCTAAATAACACTATTGGGCTAAAATGCAATAATTTAGGTACATATCTGATGGTAAGTCCTATCTCCCTAACCCAAATAAAAACTACTGCTTTAAGAATGAAGCTAGAGGGCTGGGGTTGTGGCTCAGTGGCAGAGCGTTTGCCTAGCATGTTTGAGGCACTGGGTTCAATTCTTGGCACCACATATAAATAAATTTGTAAATAAGATAAAGATCCATCGACAATTTAAAAATTTTTAAAAAAGAATGAAGCTGGAGACTGGGCGCAGTGGTGCTTGCCTCTAATCCCAGAGGCTCGGGAGACTGAGGCAGGAGGATCACAAGTTCAAGGCTAGCTTCAGCAATTTAGTGAGGCTCTAAGCAACTCAGTGAGACCCTGGCTCTAAATAAAATACAAAAAAGGGCTGGGGATGTGGCTCAGTGGTTAAGCGCCCCTGAGTTCAATCCCTGGTACCAAAAAAAAAAAAAAAAAAAAATTCAAAAGTCAAAAGTTGGAAGCAACCCATGTGCCCGTTGATGGATGAGTGGATGAACAATAAGCAATAGGCCCCTACAGTAGAATATATGCAGCCTTATAAGAAAGAATGAATGTGTGACACAGAAGAATCCTGAAGACGTGCTGCATGAGTGAGACAGCTGCAAGAAGACAAATACAGAGACACCTGGGGACAAAAAGGGACAAAGAGACAAGGGGCAGGGAGAATGGCGAGTTGTTTTTAATAGGTAGAGTTCCAGTCAGGGCAGCTTGCTTGCTTATTTATTTATTTATTTATAACACCAGAATACATTACAATTATTATTACACATATAGAGCACATTTTTCATATCTCTGGTTGTATACAAAGTATATTCACGCCAATTTGTTTCTTCATACATGTACTTTGGATAATAATGTCCATCACATTCCACCATCGTTTCTAACACCCTTCCCCCTCCCTTTCCCTCCCACCCCTCTGGCCTATCTAGAGTTCATCTATTTCTCCCATGTTTCCTCTCCCTACCCCACTATGAATCGGCCTCTTTATATCAAAGAAAACATTCAGCATTTGGTATTTTGGGATTGGCTGACTTCACTTAGCATTATCTTCTCTAACTCCATCCATTTACCTGCAAATGCCATGATTTTATTCTCTTTTATTGCTGAGTAATATTCCATTGTGTCTATATGCCACATTTTTTTTATCCATTCATCTATTGAAGGGCATCTAAGTTGGTTCACAGTTTAGCTATTGTGAATTGTGCTGCTATAAACAATGATGTGTCTGTGTCCCTGTAAGTATGCTGTTTTTAAGTCCTTAAAAAGTTGTGCAATGTTTATGATACACATAGACATATTACTAATAAAGAGTTAAAAGACTAATCCATTGGAAACGAAGAAATGTGGGAGATAAAATGATAGGTTGGTTCAGTAAACCAACATGCGCAACACCTTTTCAAAACTCAGATTGACCTCTGTAATACGTCTTGAACTGTAAGATTTGCCTGCTCTGAGGTAGAATCTTGCACCAGTTCCTAGGAAAAAAGGAAAAAAAAATATGAGCCTAGACTAGCCCACCCATTTTTTTGTAAATAGTTTCATTGCGACCCGGCCACACTGCTTGTGCCATAACTTATCTGCAGCTGTTTCTGCAGACAAGAGACTACTATCACAGAGACTGGCAGTTGTAACTGGGAAAGTCTGATGTGCAGAGACCTGAGTATTTACTCTCTGGCTCTCTATAGAAAAAAGTGTGCCAAGTCTGGTCCTAAACATTTGAATATGGGCTGCATGTTAGATGATAACATTGTATCAATGCTAAATTTGCCTAGTGTGAGACTGTATCATAGTTACGAAGCAAATGCCCTTACTCTTAGGACAGGAATGCTGAGAATTTATGGTGGAACATCCAATTGGTGGATGAATGGATGGATGAATAGATAGACGGATAGATCAGAAATATGGCAAAATGGCAATGCTTAGGGAATCATGGAGAAAAATGGAAGGATGTTCATTGTATTATTCTTGCAATTTGTCTAAAATCTAAATTGTTAAAATAAAAAAAGGAGAAAAAAGACATAAATCTAATTTAGAATTCAATTCCCTCCCACTGTTTCCTTGAGCACTGGTGACTTTATTTTTCTTATGACTGCAGATTAGAATAAAGTATTCACATCAGGGATGAGATCATGCCCTCTCTGCTGTATAAGGGTTAACTTATGTCAACTAGCCACAACCCATTTATTCCTGTGTAACTTCTGATGCTAATTTTTTTTTTTTCTTTTGGATACTTTTGTCTTGGATTCTCCACATACTATATACGTAATGCCAGCAAATCTTCTTGTGGACAGGCTATAAAAATAAATAAGTGGCACAATTTTCCTCCTTATGTTTCTATAGTCACTCAGAAGAGGATTGATTCCTCTAGTATCCCACTTGCCACTCATGGCACCACTTATCCCAATGTAGAACCCAATTTTTCTTTGCTATTTTTTTCTTGTTGTTTGAAGAGCCAAGAATTGACCTCATTGCTCACAAGCTAACTAGTCATCTATAACAGGTACCCAGAAAGAGGTACTTGAGAACAATTATCAAGAAACATCTAGTTCCATACTCTGTCTCAACAATTCTACACTTTAAAATACATCCTAAAGATGCTTTCAATACAAGTTATAAAGTGACAAGTACAAGGATTTTCTTGGTGGGTTTCTTGTTTGTTTGTTTGTTTGTTTGTAAGGATGGGGAATAGAAAGCACTCTGGAAATGGGTGGCAGAATGATCATGTAAAGTGTGGTAAATGCCCTGCATGGAGTGCTTTGCATATGTAAGATGCACAGAATAGATAGACACATAGCAGGAGGTACCCAGCAAAAGCAGTGCTTGGCGAGCTAAATGTGAGAGGGGTGGACAACACAATATCCTTTATGGAAATCGAAAGCACATGCATACAGACAGTAGAACACATTTTCAAAGAGCTCTTAAATTTAAGTGATATATATTAATACTTCAAAATGGTTGCTAGTAGAAAAAGAGAATAAGATAGAAGTGAATATACAAGTAAACTAAAGTTTAATAAATTCTTGAAAAGACAGAAGGGTCTTAGAGCATAATGATGAGGTTCCAGAAGAAGAAAAAATAACACATAAGAGCAGCCAAGTAACAACTATATGTTTTGTTACTTGAACACATGAAGCCAAGAAAGAAGCAGAAGGGGGCAGTTTGTTGGGGAAAACTTCCAGGAAAAGGTGACAATTAGCCATGATACTTTATCCGTCACTCATCACCAACCCCCACTAATACTTCTATTAATCCCACAAAAGAGCTACAGCAATTGTAAAAACTAATTAATATTGAATGATAAAACTATTTTTTAACATTCATATAATGTCAAAATGAACTATTGATTAATTTGCATACTGTTTTACTCAGCCATTCCTTTCTGTGACAAATACCTGAGAAAAACAACTGAGCTGCTGGAATTATAGGCATGCACCACTGTGCCCAGCCCAAATTTTCCTATTTTTAATCCTAGTTATTATTACCATTTTCCTATTCCTCTGTTTCCAAGATCACTGCCATTCTTTTCTACAGTCATTTTCAGTTCAAATATTTGATTTAAGAACAGTCTAAGAACATGGAGAAAGGCTCCCAATACTGACCATTTGCTAAATAATTCTTAAGAGAAAAATTGAAACAGCTGCATCTATTGAGTCAGAGAGATAGGGATGTTTTTCTTCAGCTCGTATATCCACACTCAAAAATTACATAGACACATGTGTAGCCAACATGCAAAGAGAGTTTGCTGATTTCTAATTAATTAACTTGCTCATTTTTCTATTACTTTCCAAGACTAGCTTCCCAATGGCTTACTAATAAATTAGTCCCAATGAAATAAAACAAATTCTAAAAGGAATTCTTGTCCTAGGGTAATCTCTAGGTCTCTAAACACAATTGACAGAGCAAAACAATAGCATTATTTCCTTCCTTCCAAGATTTAATCAGTTCCAAACAATTCAAATATTATTAGTTTTCAAGTAATACATTTCCCTGGATATAAAGTGTGTGTGTATGTGTATGTGTGTGTGTGTGTGTATATGTGTGTGTGTGTGTGTGTGTATGTGTTTAACCACCAGTGACTTGGAACTAAACTCTCACCTTCCAATTATTTATGCAGGTATTTGTTTGAATTAGACAGGGGATTTCCATATTTTCTCCATCTTCACTTTTCTAAAATTTCTCGATTTTCTTCAGTAGTACTTAAAAAAATTTCATCTCTGTCTCTAAGTAATGGAAGAGTAGAGTATTGTTGATTGTTGTAGGTTCATAGAAATGTAAAGTTTTGCATATTATAGGTAACTTTTTTTAAAAACTATAAAAATTTAGAGCTTAAATTAGACATAAACATTTGTTAAAAAGGAAAAAAAAGTAGGAGCAAGAAACAGATTAATATTAAGGATATTGTATCTCAAACTAGAGTTTCTATAGGTGGAAATGAAAATGGAAAGCATTCAGTCTATGTTTCAGAAGTCCATGGATAATAATGGGCAGGGTAGGAGAAGCTGGCAGGAGAGGGGCCAGGATGATGGCTGAGTTTTCAGCCCTAGTAATTGTTGGGTTGGAGTGACATTTACCAGGACTCATGGCCTCAGGTACAAGTACAAGGAAATGATTATTTTAATTTTGTGGTCACTTTACTTTTGAGATGCCTAGTAGATTTCCAAGTGGAGATGTCAAGTATAATGTTAGAGATATGACTTCTGAGATCAGGGCCACATATGCAGATTTGTTAATCAAAGATGGAGAGATACTTGAAGTCATCGGTCCTAGTGAAATTACTTGGTGCTGAGTGTAAATAAAGAAACATGACAGCTAAGAACCCAGTCATCAGATATGTCACAGTTTTAGAGGTTTTATAAAGGGGAAACAGCCAATGAAACTACAAAGGTATGAAGAGAGGAAAAGAAAACTAAGTGCATGAATGACGTGACAGAAACCGAGAAGAGAAACTAACAAATGCTGCTGAGAGGAGCTGAATAAAGAAAGAACATGACTCTTACTTTGGCTACATGAAGGCTGGTAGGTCCTTTGTGACCTCAATAAGATGACTGACAAGAGTCAGTGGAGTGGTGGGGACAAAAACCTGGAATGTAAGGTGATGACATGAAAATTGGGCCTACAGCCAAATCTTTCAAGAAGTTTTGCTGGGAGAGGAAGCTCAGAAATGGTACAGAAGTGAGAGAGGAATCTGAGGTTAAGATGTTGACTGTGTCTGTATTGTTTTTATATTTTTACTTTAGAAAATTCCATACTTAAATTCACACAACCAAAGAATAATACCTTTTACCCTTGTGTACTCACACCCAGCTTCATCAATTACCAACATTCTTGCTTCATCTATTGCCTCATTAGTTTCTTTTTTTTGTTTAGGTATAATTTACATTTCGTAAAATTCACTTTTTAGTATACAGTTCTAGAGTTTCTACAAATGCACACAGCCATATAACCACCACCCAAATAATGATATGGAATGGTTCTACCACCTCAGATATCCCTGCTGCCCCTCTGGAGCCATCTTCTGTCACCCACAACCCCTGGCAACCACAGGTCTGTCATGATAATTTGGTTGATGTTTATAACTTGAACCATTTTATCCTTGCATTCTCAGGATAAAATCCATTTGATCATGATGTATCATCCTCCTTTTTAAAAAATTGGTTCTTTTTAGTTACACATGACAACAGAATTCATTTTGATATAATTTTGCAATCATGGAATATATCTTATTCTAGTTAGGACCCCATCCTTATGGATGTACGTGATGGTGGGATTCACTATGGTGTATTAATATAAAACATATGAGAACTATTTTGGATTCATTCCATTGTCTTTCCTTTTCCTATCCCCTTTCCCTTCCCTTCATTCCCCTTTGTCTAAACTGCTGAACTAAACTTCTTCCCCTCTCTCGCCTTATTGTGGGTTACTTTCCACATATTCATGAAAACATTCACCTTTTGTTTTTTTTTGTATTATTAAATTTTGCTCTATATTTTATTGAGAATTGTTTTATCCATGTTTATAAAAGATGCCGGTCTGTAATTTTCTTGTAATAGCTTTACCTGATTTTAGTACCAGGCTAATATTGGCATCTGAAAACCTGAGAAGTAGTCCCTGCTCTCCTGCCTTCTAGAAAAGTCAGCATAGAATCAGGATCTTTTTTTTTCTTCAGCATTTATTGGGGTTTAGTTTTCTTTGTCATAAAATTTTTAATTATGACTGAATTTTTTTGTAGACTCTTCAAGTCTTTTTGTTTTTATTTTCTTGCAGTACTGGGGATTGAACCCAGAGTCTTGCACATGCTTGACATCAAGTTATTTCTTGTTGCATGAACTTTGGTTGTGTATGTCTGTCAAGGAGTTTATTCATGTCATCTAAGTTGTTGAATTCATGGCATAACATTGTTCATAGTATTCTCCTATTATTGTTTTAATGTCTCTAAGATCTGTGGATTTTCCCTCTATCATTCCTGACTTTGGTA